GGCCTTGGCAGACGAGTTGGCCGCCCTATGCGAGCGCATCGACAAAGAGTTCACTTCCGCCCGCACGGACATTGCTGGCTGTTCTTGCTTAGGGAACTTGCACAGACTACTGTCTTCACAAGGATATATGGGTGTCTTAAAGTTTGTAGGGTGCTGCAAGGCCTCAGAGGACGTTAATACCTGATGTAGCACTACAGAATAAGGAAAACATGCCACATACTTTGGTACGTGCAGCTGTATAGTAGCCCCTGAACAGATATCAGACAAACAGGGATTACAAGTTTAAACCCTAAACCCTAAGTGTTCACATAAGGATCGGTGCTTCATCATTCTTTCAGAGTTGGCCACCAAACCCCGGAAGCCGAGATGTAAGCTGCACGGTTTAGGGTTTTGGGGCTTCGGCTTGATGGTGGTACCGGTTTCATTGGCATTACGAGCTTCTGGCCAATCGTTGAGATGGCTGTACTCCTACAACAGGAAACCGAACAGCCAGAAATCTACAAGAAGATGTGGCACCCTAATGAAGGTTTCATATAGCCGGAACCTTGCAGCAAGGATCCCGTCCCGAAGGTGCCCCTAAGTGCTAAGGAACTGCCCAATCACCCTAAACCCTAAACCCTAAACCCAGCTCCCTCTGCAGAGGACATGACGAACTTCACGGAGGCGAAGGCGCAGGAGGAGCCCGGGCACGCCTTTGCTGGGCTCTAGACCGGCGAGACCCCGGAGAGCCCAATACCCCTTTAGTTGAGGAATATACCTTAAAAGGGTTCCTTAACGGGATCTATAAGAGTTCCTATAATAAGGGAATTAAGGAATATATACCTTAAATCATATTATTAAGGCCCCTGTAATTGAAGGTATATGCCTTAATTAAGGGGTATTGGGCTCTCTGGGAACTCTCAAACTGTCTTTTCAAGGTAAGGGTTTTGGGTCAAGGACGTTGCTGGGCACCCTAAACCCTAAACTCCAGGAAAGAGCAGCCCTCTTGCGGTTCAAGATTTTTGTATTTTAAAAGGATTTACACTATTCAGCTCAAGCCTTGATGGGGTTTAGGGGTTTAGGGATTAGGGTTTAAAGTTTGGGTCGGTGTCCCACCAGCTACCCGGCGCAAGCCCACAATTCACGCAACGACCTCTCTGATGCAACGTCTGAGGACAGCTGCTGAATAGGAGGCATCCAAGGTCCAATAATCGCTCGCCCTGCGTTCAGGTTTCCGCCCTTTTCGGGCGCATGTTACTGTTTTAAAGCCCAAGTCTGTGCCCTAAACCCTAAACCCTAAAAGAAATCCTAAGGAGCTAGAAGCTTCCAAACTTCAACCCCGAAAGCCCCCAACCCTAGCTTGAGTCCTAAGTGATGGAATCCATGCCCTGGCAAACTCCCTCTGCTTCAGACTCCGAAGCCTCAATCAATCTGAGCTTCACATGCAGGAGCAAGCAAGATTTGCTAGAAACACCGGCCATCCGAAGCATCCATGTAGCGGTGCGACTATACAGCTGTAGGGTCCCAGTATGTACTGTATGGGTGCATGACCCATAGAGGACTTTGCCAGGGATCCCTATAGTATCATGTGAGGCATTTGCTCATCAGGGGTTTGAAAATTTCTGGATTCCCAGGGCAAGTCGAACCTCGACAACCAGCGCAAGGCAGTCTTGCCAAGCTTGATGTTTTCGGGCTTCCTGATGTTGCGTCTCCTTGTATTTCGGAAAGGCAACTTAGTAGCTGAGTAGGTAACCTTTAACCTTTTTGGGCTTATATAATCCTACCATAATTGAAATGTTAGCCTTTTTTGGGCTAGGGTACTCAGCCCCTATAAGGCAGGGGGGGTCAGGTTCTGGGGTCACGGGCTTCCGCTTCGGTCTTCGGCTTTCGGAGGTTGCCCTTGGTGGTCGGGCAGTCATCGAGTCAGGGTGGTTTAGGACTGCTTAGGGGCCGGCGACTGGTGGAGGGGCTTGTGAATAAGGGTTTGAGACGACAGGCCTCCAGGGGACCACTGGAGGATCCTTCCATCTTCATGGAAGGTTTCGAGGTTTTCGAGGTTCGAATGTCTTTTCGGCTATATGCAAGTGTCAAGGGTTGTAGGGTTTTGGTTTCGAGTCATAGCCCCGGATCCCAAGTTGTAGCGGCAAGGATATCTTTGGAATCTAGATGTAAGATGAGCTCAGGCGCTGCATGTCCCTGGACCTCAAAACAAATGCCTTGCTATGTTGTAGATTTTGACCGTCTACTTCTGCGAGTCTATGGGGTATGACTCTGTCGGCAGACCTTATAGGACATGGGCCATGGAGGGTTTAAAGCTCATAGGGTTTAATAGATTATCGGATGAGGCTGTTTTAGGATTTTAGGGTTAGGCTATAGTAACTATATATAGTAGGCTATACGTCTTTGGCTTAGGTATAGTTCAAAGCACTTGGGGCTTTAAGAGGGCTCTGCATCAGAGATCCCCCAACGGACCTCAGAATGTTTGCTTCAGGCTCTGATGAAGGCAGACACGTGTGTGTGTGTGTTTTTACATTCGCTGAAACACAGGATCCAGTGCGAAGCGCACCATGCTCCGCGATTTTCTGTCTGTGCGTTTGTGTCTCAGAGCTGTTCTGCTTCTTTCCACTTGGCCACATTTTGCTGTGCTCGGTGCGATGCGGTTCCACGACAGCGGTTGGAGCACTGCTGCATCCAGTCACGACGCAGTGCATGAGCTACCAAGGCTGACGTACATCCGTTGGGGCCGGGGCTTTCTACACTCATTCTTCACAGCATCTTGGGAGTTGTCCTTGGAGGGTCCTAGGGTGTTGCATCTCTGGATGCCCGCATCCTGTCAACTCAAGACTCCAGACAGGACCTCGATGACGCGATGGCTGCGGCAGCGCAAGAGGCGGGAGCTGTGTTTCAAATCGGGCGATCCTGGTTTGAACCCAAGATCCTGCACCCTAAACCCCTTAGCAGCTGAGTAGGTAATCTTTAACCTTTTTGGGCTTATATAATCCTACCATAGTTGAGAGGTTAACCTTCTTTGGGCTGGGGTACTCAGCCCCTGATGGACAGCTAAGAGCGTTTTGGGGTGGATTGCAAGGTGTGGTTTAGGTTCATGGCCTCTGCAGTGAGGATGTTGGACGCTTTACCTTTTCTAGCTTTTCCATAGGCCCCTAAGTAGTTCCTTTTTATGGCTTATATTTAGAATCCTATAAGGAAATCCCAAAAAAGAACTACTTAGGGGCCTATGGGTAGGCTTTGCCTAAACTTGCCAAAAACTCCACGGCCGAAACACCCCCCCCCAGATCCTCATCCGCAAACCTTGAAGCCTTGAAGCCCCTTATTTTGCACACAAGCCCTTCAAGCCCTGAACATAAAAGCCAAAGCCGCTCTTCTCGTGTGTTTAGGCTTTTAGGGGTTGGGGCGGCTGGGTTCAGGTTCGGTTTCAAGATCCCAGGCAAAGGAGTTTCGCGAAGACTGTATGGTTTTCAGCGTAATTGCCTTCGGGGCATACTACCAAGCAGCAGGATGCGTCTTTGCAAGCTGAACCCTGAAAAAGCAGCCCCTGCAAACCATTCAGCCTGGCCTATGTGGCCGCGACACGAAGACCCCCTGTTTGCCGAGATGCAGCCTCGACCCCAAAAACTTAAACCCCAAATCCTGAGCAAGGTCGACCAAAAGCTGGGCGACATGAAGGCCTTAGTAGACAAGACTCTGCAGGACCTGCCGACGTGTCGATGTTAGAAGGGGGGCTACTTTGGGCCAGAAGAAATGATCCCCCAAACCCTAAACCGGTTTAGGGTTGCCAAAGCCCCAAGTCCCGCACTTCTGTTTCCATTGTCCGGGTGCTCCTGGTCTTGAGGTGCCGGGGCCTTGCGTTAGGGTTTCCCAGGAGTGGCTTAAGGAACCCTAAACCCTAAGCCCGAAGCCCTAAACCCGAAACCCGACACCTCTCTCGGGATCCTTGGCCCGATGAAACTCCTCGCTGATCCACCAGCCGCGAAGCCCCGAATCCCGAAGCTTCTTTGGCCTTAAAACCCGTAACCTGGAAACCCTCAAGTGCAGGGCATAGGGCTTAGGGTTTAGGGCTTAGGGCCTAGGGCTTAGGATTTAGGGTGTAGGGCTTAGGGTTAGGGCTTAGAGTTTAGGGCTTAGAGTTTAGGGCTTAGGGTTTAGGGCTCACCAGTTGTTATACCCGTTTACAATCCCCTGCAGCAGTCCTTGTCAAGCAATGGCGTTAGGATATTTTAGCAGTTGCGGGGCTTACAGCCTAGAGGGCAGTTTTAATCAGAGGGCCGAGCCTGAACCCGAAATGCTGAACCAAGCCTCTCCAGAGCCTGGGCTCAAAGGATGACAATGACGCCAAGCAGCGGGACCAGCAGGACCGTACCTGGGTTCGAGTGTTGAGATGTAAAAGATATGATCTTGCATGCGCAGAGATGCTTGTTTGTTAGTTGATGAGTTGATGTAAGCTTTGTGCATCCTTATACATGCATGCATGCATGCATGCGGGCATGTAGACAAGCACAGACACACCGACAGACAGAAGGATGGAAGTTTAGACGTAGAGACCAACAGAGACAGACGGACGAACAGACAGACAGACAGGCAGTCAGTCAGGCAGGCAGGCAGGCAGGCAGACATACAGACACACACACACACACGCAATATACCCCTAACCTACTTACATACATGGCACCCTGCACGTACGTGTATGCGAATGTGTGTTGCGACTCTTTGTTGTGTGTGTGTGTGCGGGTGGGTGTGTGTGTGTGTGCGGGTGTGTGTGTGTGTGCGGGTGTGTGTGTGTGTGAGTGAATGTGCGTGTGTGTGTGTGTGTGCGATTCTCCAGAAGTGGGGAAGGGTTGGGGGGTGTTGAGATTTTTGAGGACTTCGGACTGCTCCGAATGAACGAGACTCTTCACGAAGTTGTTTGATGATGTTTGTACGGTGCAGGCCGCGAGGGATGCGCAGTGATAAGATCGTCACACACACACACACAAAGAAGGCTGAAGCAGGCTTGCTGAGGCTGCCACGAAGACCTGCAGAATTGTTAGCAAACCAGTGGAGATCACCTGGGTCGAGATCCGGGCCCCAGCACGGACAGCTTTCATGTCTTTTGCTGAAACAGCCCAGCCTTCCCTTCCGTTGCTTAAGCCTGGTTTCCAAAGCGAAACTTCAGGCACGGGACGGCCAGAACTTCTGTGAAGTATGGCATGAACAAGGCCACCATCAGAGCACCCATCCTGAGTCGTTTCAATCAATCAGCATTTGTCGGTCCCTGCTTCTCGGGAGAACTAGTGTTAAACATCTCGCAGAAGCTGCCCTGGATCTAAGCTCAGAAGTTCAGAAGACGAGCCGTCACCGGGCTATTGGACGGTGCACCCTTCTTTTGCAATGGTTGCGATGAACCCACGACCCCAGAGTAACTGGAACAACATGATCAAGCCTGTATCAAGTCTGCCATTCGGCCTTCGTACGAATAAACATACTGCTGCTCGTCGTGCATACTCACCTACCGGTATCGGCAGGAAACCACAATCGTAGCAACATCTTGACGTCGGAACCTGAAACCCGACAGCCCAGGCACACGGCCACAACTCGTAGACTCCCATTGACGACGGCATTGGACAGCAAATGGGAGTGCTCGGCTTCGAGAACTCGAAAAACGCAGTACCTGGACAATCCATGTTGATAGTCATCGTACCAGCAAAGCTCGCAGGGTTGAACGTGTTCTCAAGTAAAGTGTACACAGCTGCACATGTACAAGTTTTACCTCACGTCCGGAATGTAGCAGTCATAGCAATGGCAGCGATGTTGACAGCACTAGTAGTATGATCATATCGATACACATTACAGACAAGAGCGTAAAAAGACTCTGACAGTGGGACCGCCGACTCACCAGCAAATTGTACATGCAAACATCACCTGCAGCCCAGGGGCAGCACCACCGGAGCCGTAACCATGAGGTTGGAGACCACAGCGCAAGCCAGAAGGTATCCTGGCATCGCATGAAACAAGCTGGGTTGAATAACCTGCCATGCAGAATCGAACCCTTAAAGGAACCTTACAAAAAACACAAAAACCTCGGAGACCTATTGAAACTCCTTCCTTGCATCTGAGGCTCCAAGCATCCACCTGAGCAAGAGCAGGAAACTCAGGACCCCATTTAAGAAGTGATCACCGCACGTCAACAACCGTGTCTTTTTCACACACTCATACAAGGTGTCACGTGACTAAATACGCCCTTGGAGGTTCACACTGACACTGCACATTCTGGTATTTCAAAGGAGTCTTACTCTCCGGTGCAAATATTCCTCCGTGGCTTGTGTACTGGCACAGTTTGCCATATCTAGTCTTAGAGAGCCAATGTTAGAACATTGAGCGATGATGTTGAAACCCAGCTCGACCACCTTGGGATCAGGGCTGCACAATCGCAAACACCGGCACAAGGCAAAAACCCATGTTTTGACAACGCGTGGGAAGCTGGGCCGGATTTGGAAGAAAACCTATCCGAAACCTGGATGCGGCTTCTGCGATTTCTTTGCCCGCCCTACCCCCCCCCCCCTCCGACTCCTATCCCGGATGCTTTTCGGTGAGTTTTCGACAAGCTCGCTTTGCACCACTTTGCATGGATACCAAACTGCGACGAAATGCCGCAAAATGAAATGCAGTAATTTGGCTAGCGATTTCTGTCCCATACTCACAGACACTATGCTTTGTTCCTTCGCTGCCCGCTCCGAATTGCAATACGTACAGATGTTTTGACAAAAACGAAAACTTACCACACCGCAAAGCTCGCAACTCTGGTCCAGAGATGGGCCAATGCCGCAAAAGATTGAAAGTTCTCGGTTAGTTTTGCAGTATATTGTATATGTAGAGCAACATGCTTTACTGCGTCTGCGCGTACACTTATAACATCCAACAAATCGGAGTATCAAAAACTTGGGGACGCTGCAGAATAGGATCCTCATTGTAAAGACCCCGGAGCCCCAGAATCAACTATCCCTGCACTTTCAAACAGAAGCCCCACATACTGCTTCATATTGCGACATCCGAGCTGCTTCTGCCCCGGAGTCTCGGTTTCCGGGACACTCCCAGGGCAGCCAGGGCGCTCACACATCGAAAGCCTTTCAAGAAGATGCACAACGGGATTTGGCGAGAAACAGAAGTGCCTATATATTTGGAACTTACACTTGCACAAAAATGTGTTTCCTTTACGGTTCTGTACTGGGGTTTCGTATCTCTGAAACTCCCGAGCACGGAAACACGAAGAGTAGGCACTGTGCGACTTCAGGAGAAAAACAACCGTGGTGGCAGATTTACATGTGATGAGAATTGACAATACTCAGTACGCGCTGAAGCCGTGGCAATAATCAGCAAGAACAAGAGGTATTCGTAGGTTCTCGTCCTAGCTGTGGAGAGAAGACATCGCGAGAAATTGAAGAACTGCCAGGACAAAGAGTCAAAATGGCAGGAAAGTCTGGCCAGATCTTGGCTGCTCCAGGCACAAGACGGTGAACCCGAAACAAATGCAAGTGAGTCTAGCTGGCGTGAGGGGACCTTAGCCTACTTGTAGCACGGCCTAGCTTGGCTTGAGCTGGAGTCGAAAATCCGTCAGCTCATCTCTGGAATGCAATCTTGCCAGTACGCCGGTTTGCATGCTGCAAGCCACATACTTTCAGGTCAACCCCCAAAATCCCAAACCCAGGATGCCCGCTGAGGCCGACTCAGAATGTTGCCGGCAACATCTTCGCCCCAACCAAGGAAAGCCACCTTAGCATCTTGTGACATCGTAACTGTTGACTTGTTGATGCCCGGACATCCACAAAGAGGGTTCGGTTGCAGTGCAACTTGGTAGAAGACTGAAACGTTGAAGTATGCAACCAGGGTTGGACAAGCGCTCGCAAACATGCGCGCTACATCCTGCAGATCGTGGGCCATGAAAGACCCGGATGCTTTAGGATGCCTATCTGACTGAGCTACTGCCAAAAACTTCAAGCAACCAGCTCGAAGGACACAAAGAGACACAAAGCTCATCCAAGTACAAGCTCAGCTGCACAGCCCAGCCCGACATAGATGCCGGTGACGGCGAGAAAGGATCTGAGCTGATCGTTGGTGCCACATGCAACCGGAGATTCCAACCGCGGTTTAACCCTAGCCAATCTAAACAAAAATGTTCGGAGAAGCGGGTGGCCGCTAGCCAGGCTACATTCGCAAAGCCCAGCACAACTGCTGCGGCTCCTGCTGGCAGCCATCACATGGGACCATGAAACTCACATGTGCCAAGCCTGAGGCTCTCAGATAACACCGATCCTTCATGTCGTGCTTCATGACGGGCAGCACGTCTGCTGGAGAATATGCGTAGACCATGACGGCCTCAGCTCGATAAAAGTGTTCTTAGGGAACCCAACAAGATCACGTTTCGGCAGCGTCCAACATCTCGCGACTCTCAGCTTCCAACAAAATCCGCCAAAATGTCGCTGTAGCTCTCAGGCCATCTGCCAGCATCAATGCATTTAGCAACAGGTTTAACACATGCTCGGAAGCTGTGCACAAACTGTTCGACTAAACCACTCCTTGCTGAGCCGTGCTCACCAGGACGCCCTGCCGCTTGAAAGCCTGTCAGGCATGTAAGCCGTGCGCCCAAAACCCAATTATGCGGTCATTCCGCCCCGACATCTTCATGACCAAACGTCGCTAGGTTCTAGGGCGGGCTTTGGGATTCATTGTTTAGGATATTGGGTTAAGCGCTGTAGGGTGCAACGATGAGGGCTGTATGGCTTATGGCGACGATGGTCATGGCGATGTGGTCAATACCGGTCTTGCTGATTCTATTGTTGCTGCTTGATGATGCGACGTTGATGTCGATTGTGAGGCTGGTGTTGACGAAAACAAGATTGTTCCCATGATTTCATAGGTGGAGTACCGTGGTACAGGCCTGTAGCTTTGTGGTCAAAAGCCGGCTTAGCTTGCTTGGTTGCCACTATTGGGTTCTCGAGCACGCATGGCCTAGATCACCCCACCACGTCAGCCAATTATGTGCCCGTCCCGCCCCCCCCCCCCACCCCCTCCCCAAACCTCCCAAGGCTCTAGGGGTTTTTGCGGCCTACAGACACGACGCTTTTGGCAACAGCGAGATGGGAACCATGGCTCCAAGGAGTGGAGCGCCTCACTCAAGTCAGCAACATCAGGGCCCTCAGCATGAAATCAACTTGCCACAATTTCGGGCCCGTAATATGAACAGTCTCTCCTGAAGGCTGCGCTCATCGTGTACTCACACCTCCAACGAGCCCACTGCGCCGACCTCCGGCAGTGATTGTGAAAAGGTAGCAAAGGGATGCCACCACACCTCAGATGCAATGCGTCTGATGGCAAGTTATTATACCTCGAGCTAAGTGCACCCAAGCGTGCCAATGACAGACCTGGGCCACACTTCGACAACCAGTTGCGGCGTTGCGAGAATGCCAGCCTAGTCTGACACGGCGGTCAAGTTCCACGCCATCTGGATATCACCGTGATGTCCCGCACGAAGATTAATCGCATGCACAGAACCGCACCTCGAGTGATGAGTTGCTGGCGTACGTGACCACTGGCCCGGACCGGCCCAGCCTGTTACTGCCCAAACACGCTGCGAGACCCAGCCAGCGATGTAGTTGAGGTTGGTCCCAATAACCACGAAGTACACACCACACTTGCCTGAGCGGGCTGTTCTACATGCATCTTTCTTCAAGTCGTTTCTACGCCTCACGAGCTGCATGAGACCAAAGCAAAATCACAACCATTAGCATTCGGCAGAGGCGCTGATTTGAAAGACGCCAGTCAGAATGAGAACCTCAGCTCCGCTTCCCTCATGAGATTGGCTCGGGCCTCCCCAAATACCCGATGCGATGGATCCTTCAGAACTTCACATCTGATTCGTAAACCTTTCGTACAGTACCAGTATGTGCGGAGCGCTGTGAGCTGTCGAGCCAAGGAGCTACACGTCTACCACTCTGGCCGAAGCACTCCTGGCGAAAAGCAATGAAGCAAGCGCCAGCTCGAGGCACACAGCGCGTGGCTTACACACGTCTTCCTCATAAGCAGGCTGGAGTGGAGCTCAACAATTCATACAATCCAGTATTGGTTAGCGTGCTTCTTTGATGTGATATCCCCACGGGCTTACGAGGGAAAGAAAAAACAGCACAAGTAACAGATGTTCGTGCAGCATGGAAGAGTGCTATCTGAACGTGCTTCTCAGTTGGAACACCCGGCACAAGCAAGCAGTATTCGTACAGGCCTCTACACGTGAACGACCGAAGAGTGTCACTTGAGGCGGATAACGGCCGGGTCGGACACGTGCGGCTTAATATGCTTCCGGACTCCAGGAACGCAATTTTGTATTGCGGACACGAGTCGAAACATGTAAGTCTGTGTGGCACGATGTGTGCGACCAGCGATGGGGTATGGAAATTCAGGAACTGTGGTCGAACCGTGAGATTCCAAGATTCAGAATGCTGGGATATGCTACACTCGCATGGCCGGGGTACAGTCACGGACATTGTGGAATGCCATTTCGATCCATTTCGGGTGTACCAAATCTGAAGCTGCCACGAGCAACGGAAGGGAGTCGCAACAGGGCTTTATCGAGGACTGGACTGCTACATACTGACTGCATCATCAGGACAAGACATGACAAGTATGCTGCAGAAACTAGTGCGTCGATGCAACAACAGCGGTGAAAACTCATCCGCTGCACAAGTGGTCCACAACACGCAACGTCGTTATGAATAGAGTGAATAGAGCCGGTCCTGGACGACGTCACCTCGGCTTGTCAACTGGCCCCCGAGACCAAACACTGTCTGCCGGCCGTCAGCATCTGGGATGGAGAATGGCAATAAATCCCAAGCGGGTGCATCAAGCGGTATACTCTGCGGTGTCGGGCCCCGGAAGCAGGCCGACTCCCGGTGCTTGTTACGAGTACATCTTTATCATGAAGACATCAACAAGGTTACATCTTAGCTGCGGAAGCAGCAGCAGTAGCTTGCAGCCAGGTGGCCGATATTTCTGGGATGAGTGCCGTGCGCGACAGCTATGGCCTCGAGTGCGCGGTCCACCTCAGAGTGCCCAAAGCTGGGAATAAACGAGCTGATGACGATCAGATAGTAGTATTTCCTTGTTAGACTTTCTTATTTCGAGCACAGTTTTAAGATCTGACTTTCAGATGATTTGGGAGCCTCTTCACAGTCATGAAGATGGCATGCGATGTTCCTGCGGCACTTGACGCCCTTGTTCCTTTTAACCATTGGAGACTTTAAAGCGTCGCAGCTGGCATGCACAATGGTTCGACGTGAAAGCGAGAAGCATGTCAATAACAATCCCACGGAGCTGGATGCTCGTGGCATGGGGCTCGCTTACAAACTGCTTGAGTTAATGCGGTAACATGAAGACCTGTTGCATCTGATGCCGAGCATGTGTACACATCTTTTCATGGACTCAGCATGACACGACTGGCTGAATTCACTCGTAACGGCCTCCCACTCCCATCACAAAACAAGAAGACCTGGGGTGAAGATAAACGCAATGAAAGGGAAAGCTCTTTGCTGACAGCCACGACTGAATGACGCTTATTGCGCTGTTAAATTCGGAGACAGCCAGCCAGTGATACGCAGAAGCCCATCTGCCCACCAGTTGCTTGACTCGCAAGGCTCAGGCAAGCATGCAAGCGTGGTAGGACACCGCCCCGGCAAAGACAACCATCGCTGGACCCAGCACCTGCTGCAACGAGTTGCTCGGTCTGCGGCCCTGCCGCGCTCTGGATCGCTATAGGCTGAAGATCGACAAGCAATGACAAACCCAAAGCCCCTTGAGCTGCAGCACCGCTGTCGACTGAGACAAGCTGCTGTACAAAAACTTCACTTCTACTTCTGCAAGGGACAAGCCGAGGCCCACACCCAGCCATTGTTCGCCACCATGCGAGGTAGGCTCAGCACGCTCGCACCCACCATGCAAGTCCTAGGCACCAGGCTGGTATGTGAGGATATGTGAGGTGTCTGCCAGCCCTAACATTCTCAGGTCTTACTAGGCTGCTGACACACTCAAGCTCACACGACACCGGACGCCGAAGTACGCAAACGACTGGGCAAACAAGGGCAAACTCCATTCTGAACATCTCTGCTGGCGAGATGCACGAGATTAGTGGCTGCGTCCTTTCGACTCATCTTCGCATGGTCCTCGCATCTGTAGCATGTATGACAAAGTGTTTTGCCGTCTTGGTGCGGCATGGTCACAGCTCTACTGGAATAAGTTGCTCATTCCTTTGCACTCATGCGGCCGCTGACTAAACATGTACGAGTCAACGCATGCATGCATGGACGGATGGATTGTGCTCATGCAAAGCTGTCAGTCAGCACATGCATGCGCAGCGTACCGGACAAGAATGCAAGCCGAATCGGTCCAGCTTCGATGAAAGAAACACTGACGAAAGCTTTGCCATTTGGGACGATGGGCTGGACTGGGATGAAGACGTGTGCTTGCTTAGACAGGGTTGTTTGCCTCCCAGCTTGCTGCGCCGTCTCTCTCTGGCCACTTCCCCGAATGCTCTTGGATCCTGACCTGAAATCATCTATAGGTTTTTCGAAACGCATTGAATGCATCAAAAACTGTATCTGCATGCATACAGGAGTGTATATATATATATACATATATATATATACATATCTAGATACAGACTTGTCCTGTTGGCAGCCACTGGCCGTTTCATGACCATGCCACTGGTTGCAACTACACCTGATACAATGTTTTGATCTTGAGCACGCGCATGAACACATGCAATGATTTGTGCATGTCTTCGAAATTACGTGTGCGCGCATGTCCTTGCTACATACTTTTGGGTGTGTGTGTGTGTGTGCACGTGTGTCTGATCTGTCTCTGTGTGTGCGTGTGTGTACGTCATGCATGCGTGAGTGCGTGCGCACATTCCTTTCTTTCAGCATCTAAGTCTGTGTTGTTGGACAAGGGCTTGCGCTCGCCAGTCATACGACCACTGCTTGTCTCGGCTGGGTCCCTCACGGACCGTCGTGTCGGAATATGTCGGGTCGTATCGGTACATTGGCACATGTTGGCACAAGCGGGCACGATGAAGATCCAGTGGGCATTCCAAGGTGACAACCTTCGGGCAGCCGACCACGGCAGACTGTTGTTGGAATGCCCGGCAGCTTCACTTGTAAATACGGATCAACTTTGCAGGTCCACGGAAGCTTCGCGCAGTACATGCATGTCTGCGCTCTTGTCTCTGCCTGATGGTGTACGGTGTGCCTGTCTGTGTAATTCTGGCCGTGGGTCTCTGCGTCAGTGTCTTCATGCCCCTCCCTTCCCAAGTCAAGTGTGGAACGGAGCTAAGGCTAATCATGTCAGCTAAAAATCAGAGCAGGTCCTCCTGCGCGTGATGTTGAGCGTGGCTCTTGGCCCCGCTCGCCTGCGCCGATAAAGAGCTGCAAAACTCTCAAGATCTTTGATGAACGAATGAACAGTTCAATGAAATACTGAAAAGGAAATACACTCTACATGCAACGGCTTTAGTTGGCTGTAAAGAGACTTGTAGATCGTATTTGTCGGCCTGGGGCCTGGGGACCATCATTCTTGGCGCCAGGCTGGGCTGGAAACGAATTTTCTCCAATTTCAAAGCAAAAATTATTGATTGTTGGATTCTACACAGTCGAGTTCACAAAACATACAAACAGCTAGTTGACTACTTTTGGCACCAGGAAAAGTCGTTGGTGAGTTTTAGCATGCTTTCGATCCGAGGCCTTGTGGCACGCGGGTGCCGACTTCCAAATGCTGCTAGCGATTAGGCGTTTGTTCCTTACTCTGGCGATTCCAGCCACTAAGTCTAGTGACTAGTGAGAGTCTAGGTGCTGTTTAGCCGTGGATCCCATCGATGTGAGCCTGTGACTGGTTTGGAACGCTCTGGCCAGTGTGGTGGATCCAGTAAGCCACCCATCGACTCGACTTGGCCACATGATGGGTCTGGCACAGGTTAGCTCGAGCAGCTTGCCATCAAATGCCATTGGGTAACGATCCACATCAAGCATCAGGAGCAAGTGTGTGTGTATATATATATATATATGAATACAGAGGCGACTGCATCCATGCTCACATGAGCAAATCATGTCTTGCAACTAGCACAGCCGAGAAAAACTTGTTGTCTATGACAAAAAATTGATGCAGGATGGTGGCCTCTTCGAGCAACCGCGCTTCTTCCTGCTCCTCGTCACCTGTGAACATGGATGTGGATCTATGTCTCTCCAGGGCTGGTGACGTAGTTACAACTTACTTTACTGGAGGCTTCATGATGGAGCACACATGCAAATAGAAACTCGCACCACAGGCCAGGAGGACCCGCTCAGCAAAAGCTGGAACTCAGCTCTGGGCTGCCGAAGGAGTTGCCCTCGTCCTTTGCGAGGGTTTCCTGAATTAGAGCCCCGAGGAACAAACACCGATACGAGCGTGCATGCATGTGCGCACATACATGATGTGTGTATAGAGATATACATACATATAGATCATGCGCAGTACATGTGTGTCCACATGTATGCGTGCTATAGATAGATAGATAGATAGATAGATAGAGATATATATATATATATGCAAATATTTGCACATATACTCTCTGTCCCTGGCGCGCAACGCCAGTGATCGTGTCCGGTGAGTCGGCGTGAAACTACAGCGTGACCTCGATTCCCAGCCTTGTCCACCCTTGAGACAGTTCTAGGAACCCCCCGTGCCTCGAAGAAGCTGTGCTCCTAGAGTGTCCCCTCTGTTGCTAGGAGCCGGTAGTCACAACAGGACACTGCTGCCAGTCGTTGCAGGGCTGTGTGCTGGCTGGCCCCGTTAAAGTTCAGTATCTACCGTCAACAGTCTTCCCGAAACATCATGACAAAAAGCTACGACTTGGGTCCCCTGTCAGCCTCTGTCGGCTTAGAGCACTGTATGGAGTTTTTTACGTCGCAGGAGCGGGGAACACTCACGATGGGTCCTTTTGTCACTCCCTCTCTCGCTCTCTCCCTAGGGCATAAAGGGTCTTGACACAGACCCCTATCTCGTAAACACACACACACTCTCTCTCTCTCTCCCCCTCTCTCCTCATCTATTGCCTACACATCCGTGTCCACACAGGATAAGCCAGGTCATGCTCAGGATTCTTCTGACTCTCGATTTCGAAGCCTTGAGATGTTGCCCATCTAAACAATTGCTAAGAGTCGCAGGTATGGCATGGGGCCTGTCAGCCATCCTCGTGGCCAAATTCCAAAAAACGAACGCGCACAAGGACCAAAGCTCACACCAGAGTGGGGGCGGGAGTAAAACACATCAGCTACAGCAGCTACAGCAACAACCGACATAACAAGCAAGCAGAAAGAGCAGCAGCAAAATGACACTACTCCGAGAGCGGCATTTCGGACAGCAATGGCCCCCGGCGCCCGCGCCTCGTGCGCTTGATGCTTCCGCCTTGTGCGATTGATGTCTCGGCCGCTCTTCTCCGAAGGCACCACATTCAAAGCCAAGTCGGCCTGAGAAGCGCATTGCAACGTCCAACGGTGCACCTTCACTCTGAACTGCTCACCTGCCTCGCTGCTATTCTCGCCATCGGACCGCGGTTCCTTGCAAGGTTTCAGCGGGATGCCAGTTCATTGGGTCTCTGCCTTCACTTTATTTGCTGATCTGTCCAGCCTTGATCAAATCACCTCTTGGCCTCTTGGCCCTTATCTTGTCTTCGGCTGAGGAAGGCAGGGAGGGTTTGGAGGCCCTTATGGCACGCCTGCGTTAAACTCGAACCCGCAGCCCGAAGATCCTGGGCTCCCTCGGACGCTCTATGAGTCGGGAGATTCATTCTTTGGAAAGACTTCCGAAATGCCGCTGCTCCAGTCCAGGCATGCGGCCCTGTTGCTTCTCGAGAAAGGAGGCTATCTGAAGATGCAACTACCGCTACTACGTCGACGACTGCCGCTACGACTGCTGAGAGGGTGCTCGAGGCCTCGGATCAGTCTTGAGCTCCCTCTCCTAAATAACCGAACTTCAGCCCCAAAACCGCCAATGCTCCCCCCTGAACACCCTAGACCACCCTTGAACCCACCCTGAAAACCCCTGAATACCTCCTAGCAACACTCAGGAAACACTTGGAACAGTACTGATATACCAGATAGACCAAGCACCAAAGCCCCCGTGAACCCCCCCCCCTACCGCTCGTGAAACAAACACCCACACACACACACACAAACCCCCGCCCCCTCAAACCACAAGCTTCAACCCTTCAGACCATGCTGCCGGCTCCTGCAACATAGGCCCGCGTAACCCTCCTGAATCCCCTTAAACCCTCCTCAGCACTTAGCAACTTAGCACGTCTACACAAGCAGTGTCTGTAAGACGTACTTCATAACTGACTAGTCGACCCCGCAGGTCAGAGGGGATGTTGTTTATTTTCAAAGACTTGGTGGACGCACAAAACAATGTGCCACGTCACTAGGAACAGCAATACTAGTACCAAAACCAAGACAGATACTACTACCACCACTACGACTGCTGTTACTCTGCTGATAACTAATTCTAGGACTGGTACTAGCACTAGTAATACCACCACCACCACCACCACC